TCGGACGATCGATCCTCCTCTGTTTTCGTTCGAAGCCGATTCGACGCGTTAGTTTTCTTCAGGATGCGAAAAAATTGGGCGACAACAATCAGTACGGAGGGAAGTACATACATGTATACGTATCGGGTACCGGGAAATGTTCTGGATGTGTGTATCGAAAGTATCAGACACGACACAGCAATCGCATGGTAAACAGGAAATCGGTGTAAAATGATGGCGATCGGTGTCAGTACGCCTGTGCAGACCGATAAGCCCTGGCTTGCCTACGTAATTCCACCGAATATTGGAATTTTCAATTTGGGTCGCGAAGACGATGCGACCGACGTCGTTGTCGTTGTCGTCGACGTCGTAGCCGTCGCCACTCCATACAATCTGAATCTGTTTGCCCTGCTATCCGTTTGCGCAAGAAAGTATAGCATGTTTACCATGGTAGGTGGAGGCGCTTAGAGACTGCATTCTTATCTGTACAGTGGAAAATGACTCACGCATCTGTAATTCCCATTTGTATTAAGCTCGAGGTGCGCGTGTTCCGATTTCAACGAAATGAGAAAAGGATACGGAACGCTGACAAAATATTTGTCAATGATAAAGCCGTAGTGATAACGGCTGGCTGGTAACAGGGTGCGTCAACATTGGTATGTAGACTATATGTATAGGTACATGTATGTATGAACTAAATTTCCAATTCGAGTCTGATTTTTATGTTCCGTGAAAACAATATCTACAAATTGAAGATTTTATCGTCGTTATAATTCGCCACTCAAAGATAAGATATCGTTGATTAAGGGAGCATGTGATCGTTACGTCCGTGGAACCAGCTTACGAATCTCTAGGTGTTACGTAACATTGGAAAAAATGTGATGCAACGAAACCGGACCGTATTCTGCGTATGTCTCTCTGAATACCTGAACCGGAAGTATCCATTCATAGTTATAAATTCTACTTTGTACCGCTTCGATCGCAATTCTCGGAAGGATATTGAACCTAGATATGTTGGCATCTGTAATCGTTATGCTCACGTACTCGCAATATTTGCTGTCGGAAAGGACTGCTGCCTGATCCTGACTAAGCAAACACGTCGGGAGTCGGGTCCGGTTGCACGGTGAATTTTTTAACTGGTCTTTCACTCATTTTCATCGGGACACCTCGCGACTCGTTAAAGAGATTTAGTTTCACAAAAGAAACTCGTTCCGAGGCAATCTTTCCATCGAACGGAGTTGTATTTGAGATCGAAGTTGTATTTAGAAAAATCGAATGGGATCGAGTCCATCGGTAGGAAATATTTACCGTTGAGTTTGCACTTCGCCCGCGCTTCGTGCGAATCATTTATCTTTCGATGCCGATATCCTCGTATCGTTTAATGTACTCGCATGGAATGCGTACACAATGTATCACGAACGTATTCGAACGAAGGCGATTGCATTCTCTGCTCGACGGTGTACCCGGTGTTTTCAAAATATTATTCTACCTGTAACGAGAGAATAGGTATATACGGTCGGGATTGGTAAATCGAAACATTCGCGATCGTTTTGATCCTGTGTAGATACACACACACACACACACACACACACGTGTCGACTCGTGTTCAAAGTAAACGTATTATTGGTCTTGTCTATATTAACTGTCCCTGCAATAATATTTCAAACTGCTCGATTTAATTCGTGACCCGGTGTATATCGATTGGTCGGACGAGAATTATTCCTCTCTCCTGGTGCCCTACAAAGTCTGAGGGCGGACTAGTTTCGGAATACGCCTAACTCAGCCGAAACGACTTTAGGATGGCTAGCTCGGAAAAGTTCCACGGTCATTCGCGTAATGGAAACCCTGAACTGCGCCCCGAGAACATAACGAAATCTGAACAATAAGGGGACAACGTGACATTACGAATCTTTTTTGTTCATCGCGTATCACGAGGTACCAACAACTTCTATGGTATCGCATCGCACGGATCAAAAATAGATCCGTGACTACTAACCGCGTTATTATCGTATCAAGACTACTTCGTCATCGGTAGGGTTGCTGACTACACCGCGTTTAGGCCGTGCCTAGTTACGAAGAAGCCTGGTCAGACGTTCAGCACGAACAGTGCACTTTACCTATGTATACGTACACACGGAACATAACGTATGTAAACGCGTATAACATATACCGTCTCGACCTTCCGGAATGTTTTGTCAGGTTGACATTGAACTTCGACTATAATAAAAACGCTGTATTATCGATAGCACGTGGTCTGTCTTGTAAATAAATTGCGCGTTACCGTTAAACGCAGTCGATAGTTAAAGTGACTTTCAGGTCACGGGAAAGAAGGTGTGTATACATTGCGGTTATACATACGTGCTCCACGTTATGTCTGCTGTGTGTACGTATCGATGTCTACTCTGTCCACAGAGAGAGGCAATTCATATATCAGGATGGGTGGTACTGTTGCATTCCACCGTAGGGAATTGATCCATTTAGAACACTTTGCTCGTAATGGTATTGAACAGATTTGCTGCAGTTTGGTATATAATAGCAACACGCTTGTTTTCACTAGAGCGAACCGAAACGGTATACATAGACATATGTAGAGGTGGATACTAAGAGTAACGACCCGGAGCTCCACCCCCGTTTCCTCTTAGCGAGCACGTGTGTCACAGATTTTCTCGAAACAACGTTTGGACAATCCTCCCGGCGTCAGTGAAGATGCCACTGGACGCCACAGATGGCCGAGGGTGTCGTGATTTTCTTCGAAATCTGATCGGAGCTTAGAGTGGAAATTGGAATTTCCGATAGTTTGACTGCAAATGGAAGCCGGATTCGAGCTAGCCCGATTACCATAAGTCAGAGCCGTCCGACCGGCTCAGCGGACTGAACTGGATACCGGCGCGTGTAGGTACCTACTCCGGTAATTCCGCCGGAAATCCGCGCGACTGCAGAAGCGCGGACTATCTAAGCTCGGAAAACGAAGACGACGGCTGCGAGTAATTCAGTTCGCGTAAAAGCGGTTTTCACTTAGGGCTTAGGAAGACGGCTAGAAATACATAGCACCAGTTAGGTATATGTACATACGTACATATGTATATCGATGTCTCTCGTCGAACGAAACACGCAAGTTTTTCCACTGGGAAACAAAGAAAAAGGAACGGTCGCTCGGGGATCGCTTCTCGAAACGGGATAAGCGGTAGCTGGTAATGCGTTTCCAAGGACGACCTCGTCCTATAATTTACAGAGAATTCATTTCTTAAATCGATGATGTATCGATTAAACAAGACTGCGAAAAGTCTGCTCGTGTATGACTCGTATCAGCAAACAGAGGTACGTAACTAAAGAAAGGTGGTACGTGGAAACTCGGAGGCATCCTGTTCCTATTTTTTGAAAATACGAGCTTCGGAAGTGACTGTTCGTCGCGTCGGTGTGACTCGGGCTCTAGCGAGGTCAGTCTCGTCGCGAGCCCAAGGCTCGCCGTCGCGACTGTTCAAACAGCGGAGAACTCCAATGAAACGATGGGGCCGGTGTTGTACCTGATGTACCCTCGGGTAACGTGGTCGACGACCGATTCACCGACAAAACGTCTTCTGTGTGGAATCGATGGCTCGGAAATAAGTCGGCCGGAAGTGTCGTGGTAGGAACGACAGAGAAGAATCTGAATGGGGGCTCTTGGTTACGGAAGTCGAGATACCGCGATTTAAAGCACACGGGGGAAACGTCGAAGATTTCTTTTACTTGAATGAGCACGAAATATTTTTCTTACAGGCTTTTATACGGATCTAGTTTTCATTTCTAAAAGATAGGTACTGTTGGGATATTCGTTGACCGAAAACAACGAGGATCCTTCGCTCGACTATATACATATACATATACATCTATATCTACTGTGACCTCGTTTCCAAATTGCGGCTCATCCTGTATTTCTCCAATTATTTATCCGCCTCTAACAGAAATTTTCAGCGGGTCACCGTTGACTTTGCGAGCGAGTTTAATCGAGCATCGTTTCGCGTTTTCTGGATATTGGAGTCTGAATTTCAGTTCCTATTATTAAGAGTTACTATGCGAATGACACATTTTAGATGACCTTTCAAGCAACTGGATAGCTTCGTCGCGCGAGTCTAAGAATATATAGAACACCGATAGGTAGTTAACACATCGTCAACGATGTAGATTCACAGAATGGTTATATGTAATATCAAACTATGTTTCGGGGAATATATACTACAAATGCTTTGCGACATTATTTACAAAAATGAATAAATGAATAAACGAATAAAGTCAGAAGTCTCTATCCCCATTACTCCTGTGTGGCAAAAAAAAAACGGAAAACCGCTCGCTCGTTTTCCCTCGCGGCCCGATAGTCGATCGGCTAACGCATAAAGTCAACCCTGCACACGTCTGCTGGACCGGAAACGGGTCAGATGAAACCATTGTATCGGGAGTTCGCCCCGTATCGATTCGTCCAAGTAAAATTTGCAAGGTATACCAGCGCTTTCGGAGATAATACGTCGGTGACTGCACGCAATCACGAAATAATAGTTCCCTTTGTCGTTTCGCGAGGTCGAATTCGCACGCAGAAGTCTTTTTCTCGCCAATTTGCCCCACGAATCGTAACTAGGTCCGACGTTCGGTAAGGGAAACAGCTTCAAAGGGAAAAATTTTCCTTTGCTCGGTTTCGAAGTTGGCGTGAACGCGAAAACAAAGGGAAAGTATCGATTTTCCGGGGACGATTTTCTTCGATATTGAAGAGCCGTAACACCGATAACGAGCGAATGATGAGATTATCGATCTACCGAGGCACAATGAGCGAAGTAGGACGAGATTCTCTGTCATCCAACCCCACCTCCAAAAATTCTCCGGTTCCTTCTACCAGGCCGCAACCTCGCGAGGAATTCGCAGTCCGCTCAATTATGGAGCGACCCCACCGAATATTGGGTCAAAGGTCGAGGGGCCTCGAGAATATTAATGCGGAAGGTCGAGTCCCGTTCACTGCTCTAACTAGACACATCGTTTGCCTGTTTCAGAAGCTGCCATGTGTAGCGTCACCCCGGATCCGAAGACGTACTTCCCGAAAATCGAGGGTAATCTCACGCGGGTCGTCTGGGCTCACGCGGTCAACAGCCAAGAGCTCCTGAACAGCACGCTCAAACGAGGTAAGTCGGAATAATAAACAATCGAACAAGAATACCCTTCAACTATGATTCCACGAAACTATTAAGAACAGCGTGCATTTATACAATTACTTTAAATCATTTTAAGAGCATTCCTCCAAATGGAAATCTTCGAAAGAAGTCTATTCTAATTCGTATTCACAACGTTCCACGGTCCTTCTCGTATTTAACGCGATTAGAAGCTGCATCCCGGCAGTGCTTGATCGAGTGTCTTGTTGCCAAGTGACACGTCGAAATTTAAACGGTGTCAAAGGTTCCGCGATCACGCTCCTAACATGTTCAACGCGGCAATAATTATCGATTCGACTCTCCTTGGGTAAGAGGTATCTTGTATCGCGAATATTCAATTTCGAGAGAATGTAAAGTACAAGGAGGGTGTTAGTTTCCTATGAGCAGTTAATTTCTCGCGGATTTTGCGACGTTTCACCCTCCTGACTTTCGTATCCCCATCGTTTTCGTTCGTCTGGCGGTTCATTGGTTAACGAACTCCAGACCATTCAAGCGAGATGACCCTCGTGCCAAGAATCCTTGGCATCAACGGATTTTTCGGGGCACGATATATCGTTCCCCAGACACGCGCGCAACAAGCCAAACTTGTCGGATGTGTTTGCCCTCGGCACACGGAGAAAACCCCCGGTCAATTATCGCGAATAAATATTTCAAAACCGACGAACGATAATGGGTTGAAGGTCGCTCGTGAAATTATATTTAGGACCGGAGCGGCGTCGTCGGTGTACCGGATGTTCGTTCGCTTAGTTAATATTCAGGAAAACACTACGAACCGTCGCGTCGTTGTGGTCACGTCGACGAAAGATTTTCGAGAAAGAGACTGGTGTCTCCGCTGAATCTCAATGCGAGCTCGAGAACGACGTCGTTAACGCTGTCGTAGTGGAAGGTCAGTCTTCGGACACGCGCGACCTTGATCCTCGAATCGTGCGATTGATCGTGTCGTCCGCGACAAAAACAGGAAGCGAACGAGAGACATGCCCCTCCCCCCGTTGGTTGACAAAAGTCGAATATATTGTTAGTCGAATGATTTTTTCGGAGCTTAGAAAGTCTATTCAAAAGCAACTGTCGCTGCAATTACGATTCGATTAATCAAACCACCCCACGGTGAAGAACGGTGAACACACGTCTGGGTTCCGCGATTGTAGTCGGGATTACGGAAATGTATGTCAAGGTGACTGGGTGCATCTCCTACCAGACCTATAGACGGAGCAAAATTAACTATCTGTTCAAGGACACTAACCACCCCTCGTTACCACATCGTACCGTTTTTTTTATTAGAAGTTCATTAAGATTCGTTACCCGAAGAAATAGTCTTTAAGTTGTTGATCTTGTTTCGATTGCAGCAGCTATCGTCGAACTTTTCGGTACGATATGTTTTCGGCGATGGCGGAGCGAGAAGAAGATACAGTGGATTGAAGAGTATTTTAGAGACTCGTTGACGGAAGCGGGGTGTCTAAAACCGACGTATTTAACGGGCAAGGGAGAAAGTTGAATCCGTCGTCGGCGGCTTCCAGCCTCTTTAGACGTGATCGATATTCCCGTTGCACGTGTCTACAACGACTGCTGTACAGCGGATCGACTTTCTCGCTTTCTTTCCCGGTTTTCTGTCACGCTGTTCTTTTTCATCCTTCGCATCACTATTGCCCTTCGTGTTTCTAATGGCACCGCTGCTTCTAGTCTTTGCCCTTAATTCTTCCGCTCTGATACATCTATAGTAATCTTCATAAGCTCACAATCTTCTGTTTCTTTTTTTTCTTTTTGGCTTTTAAAGAAGACGTCATGATGCTGGAGGGCGACGTGGTGCTGGGCAGATTGAATACTTCGGCAGAAAACGCATACATGATTCCAATAATGGCGCATCCACCTAACAACCAGAGTGATCTGTCGCTTGAAGAATTCCTGAAGACCGTCTCCACGAATAAAGGCACGATGGGTGTCAAGCTCGACTTCAAGTCCTTGGAAGCCTTTACCGCTAGTCAGACAATCTTGAAAAAAGCTCACGATGACGTACGTACAATGTTCGCGTATTTTTAGACATCTGGATCTTTGTTAAGCACCCTGCGATGGACGCTTCGCTAAACCTTCCCGATAAAAGGATATTCTAGGACTATTTCCGCTATTTCCGCTTCGATTACCGACGCTGAAAGAAGGGTGCTCTGTGCACGAGAACGTTTAGCAGCTACGCAAAGCTTTCTAACCGTTCATTTTTTACCGATAACTCACTGTCGGCGTCGCCATTAATCGTTCGAATCATTCCTCGTTTCAGTTCGAGTACCCCATTTTCCTCAACGCGGACATACTTCCTGGACCAGTGAACGCGACCACTTTGCCGGTCGATGCGAAAGCCTTCGTGTCTCAAGCGAAGTCATTCGAGAATTGCACGTTGTCGATCGGTTGGACCACAAGGTAAGAGGAATAACACTTTATCTGCCGCGAGGAAAGCTTTTAGCTAATGTTTTGCGAATTCACGCGACCACTCGTTTCAGATACGGGAAGGAAGATAACATCAAGGACGGTGCATACACGATTGAGCAGATCGACAGCATGATCAAGACCCTGAAGGAGCATAATGTGACTCAGTCGGTAACTTACGCCGTACGAGCTGGTTTAGCCGCAAACAGTGCCACCGTGATCAAGTCGTTAATAGAGCAAAGCTCCAAAATGAAGAACCCGACACTGACCATCTGGTCGTCCGAGGGCGACGAGGTCAACGCGGAAAAGTTGTCGCAGCTGATCAAAGATGTCGATGTCCAGAATGTGTACATCGACGTACCGGAAAGTCTGATGAAGAAGCTCCAACTATCGGGAGCGTCCAGTCTCAGCGTCACCACGATGATTATCGGGGCGTCTCTGTTTGTCAGCATGTTCCTCTCGAGCGTCACGCGAAGAGTTTGAGCTGTACACAAACTCAGCAGACGTTCCGTGCACCGAATGGATTTCAGGGTCGAGAGCTCGCGTTCCGTTTCGTCTCCTCGAAATATGTCCGTTTCGAAAGCAAACGCAAGTCGTCGATGGGATGAAATCGAACCGCGAGCGAAATGTCGTGTGTCACGATTCCAAATCAAAAGCATTATATCCATTGTGTCGCCATCGCTGCGTTAGCAGCGTGTCCCGATCGCGCGTACTTCTTAGCGTGTAAGCTTAATTTGCAAACGTGTTTTCTAAGTATTTCAAGGGGGCTTTCTTAGGATACCTTCGTCGTAATGAAAATCTTGCTTTACATCTGGACATATTGTACTTTTCTTTTTCCACATTCGGTTTTACTTCGCCACGTCGCGGCCGGCACGATTACTAGAATTCTATGGAAACGCGATCGGTAAGGGATGGTTGGTAATCCCGTATCTGTTTCAAGCGATTTTCACTATTGGAGTAAGAAGATAGGGTAAGATATAACGTACTAGAAACTCACTAACTCGAGACCTTTACAGATTCAAGTGATAACTTAGTAGGGAGAAGTCCAACGTTAATCGAACACTCTTTTTCTTTTTAATCACGTTGATACTGCACCGCGTATATGAATCTTGCGTCCCGACGAAACCATGATGATCGCGCGGAAACAAAAAAAAAATCACGAGCACGTATAGTTATATGGGAACGTTTTTCGCACTACTCTTGTGTATATCTCGAGGCGTAAGGATTCTTTTGAACGATGTCGCGTCGAACGCGAGACATCTCTGTAGTGTGTTATATCGTACCTTTTTAATGATCACCGACGTATCGCCTGTACCTGCCTTGAACATATCCCAGACTTAGACGCAGAGCAAACTCGATACTAGTTTCGACAATTAATCTGTGTTGGAATAATACAAGTATTCATGCTTGTAGAGTTCCGTCGTAGAGCGCATATTATCGGTGGATTCCAACAATCTGTATACATGTAAGCCAAAGGATTGCGTACGCGTACTACTTTGCCGGCGCACCGCGTTTGATAACGAAACAATAAAATCATGTGCAAATGTTCACGGAACTTGTCCGTGCAATTTTCATTTGTTCGCTGTTTCCTTCGTCTGTCCGCCGCGTGTTAACCGATTCTTTTGTATCGGTAGGACAGTATTTGTGTGTGTATATATATACATGGGGGGTAACGCGACTCGAAACGTGACGGAAGCCCGAAACAGGATTTAAAATTTGGACCTCGTGTCGCGGGTGGTCCACTTCTAATCCCGTGAATTAATGGTCGCTCAGGTGGCGCTTGTCATATGGAATACGAATGGGTCCTGTATTTGTAACGCTTAAACCTTACGTTTCACCGTTCCTAGTTATCGCCAATTTATCAAGAGTTTAATCGGTGAATCATCTAGATACTAGAAACGATTATTAAACGAGGAACAAAAAGAAAACGAAAAATATTTCAGTAGAAGTTGAGTTTGTCGTCGTATAAGACTCAAGGATCTTACCACCCAAAACGTCATTTACTCTGTTCCAATATTTGCAGTACCATTTGTCACGGAGGATGCAAGTCGCAGAATCGGATCCACCGTTCGATCTTTTCTATTTGTCTTTCGATTGTCCTCGATTCGGTCATGCTGTCGCTACTCCCATCGCATATCCTACTTCGATAGAAATTACCACTCGCTACGTGCGACCGCAGTAAATTACAACGAGGGAATGTTTATTGTCTGGCTGCAATCGATGCCAATACGATCGACGCACGCGTTCCGTGTAAGAGATTCTCCGTCCGTGAACGTTCGGTGTCAAGGTAAGACGCGGTAAAAAAGTAGAATCGCGTGCCGTGGAAGGTGTCGTTGTTGGGATACGTGAGTGTCAGAGGTCGCTAGCAGCGAATGACCTCGAAAAACAGAAGAATCCATTCCGGTTATCACAATCGGACTCGGACCTGCGATCCTCGTCGTCCTTTGTGTTCGCGGCTCCGCAGGTGTGCGGCGCGGCGTGCAAAATAAGATTCATGTAAAATCTTGTTCTCGCGTGCGCAACACGAAAATATGCTCGAGGCATGAAAAAAGAGTCATCCTTTGAACGTAACAGCGCGTTACGAGCCCGTTTTGATCGATGCGTTACGCGCGTGGGAATCGAGCTTGAAATGAAAACGCCATCGTTTGGCATGGAAGGGTGGATGTTGGGATGAACCGGTCTGCCCTCGGGGTTCTCTAAATCTTGTCGGACGCGAATCGTTATGTAATGAATATAAAGGGGGAAAGTTACACGCACGATATATGTACAATGCGAACTCATCTCGCTAACAGACGTGGCCCGGTTCCGGGGAATAGCAAAGTGACCTACAAGCACAATCTAGCGAGATAACCTCCTGAACCTGAGCAAAAGTTTTCAAATCAAAGGCGGCGTATCCGAACGCGCGACATACCGAACTCTGCTCGTTCTGTTATGGACTCGGTAAATTTCAGTTCCATCCAGTTTTGCATGAAATTTTGCGGAACACAAAGGTGTACATTTTTATCGACAGCTGTCAGTTACGTAACTGTCCGTCACTAAGCTCAATTCGCGATGTTAATGCCATTTGAGTTGCAGTGATCGTTGCGAACGATACGTCAGAGTTGAAACCGCCTTAATGTCAACTGAGCCGAAGAACCGTTCGGTTTCTAAAGCGATTAGCAGTCGTGTTAACGAACCTGACGCGGATGTGTACCCCGAAGCAGCCGAGAAGCGGGTCTCGTTGATAGAACAAATCGCTGCACCCAGCAAACACGTACGTTGGCACGTGAACCACGCCTAATTCCGCGTGACTAATTCAGTTTCGTGCTCACGAAAATGTTGATGGAATTCCACGGAAGCGCGTGTTCTCCGTGCCGGCACATGTCTTTAGTCGCGATCGTTCCGGCGGTTCAACGTTCAAGAATAGAAACCCGAAGAAAGCGCCCACGGTCACCGAATCGAATCGAATCGTATAAAGCTGGGGCCATTTTGGCTGTCGCTCCATGGGCGCGGCAGCTTCTTGTCGAGGAGCCAGCGCAGGAGAAGGTATTGCCAATATCTCCGTGAGAAGTGCACAAGTACCGCGATCGTGACCGTTCACAAACGACGCGGGACTCTACTCGATCGTTGTTCGAATTTCCCAGTGTTGCGCGAAGAAAACGATTGCATTTCACGGGATCGTCTCACAGAGCCGAAACTTCGAGCGTCATTTATTTGTCCGCTCGTCCCTCTCACCTGGGATCGCCGGCCCATTTATCTGGCAGGTTGATTACACGCGTTCCAGAGGCACCGTTCAAATTCCCCGACTGGGATGCAATTTAATCGCCATTTCGCGTCGACGCGGCCGCACGCTCGACCGCGTCGAGGATTCTGACGAATAGCCGGCGATTAATGTCCGGTAACGCGAGTCAGCGAGAGTGAAACGATTAAGGGGTATCGTGGCTTGATGGGTAATCGGCGCGAGTGTATTGTGTTGCTCGACGATACATCGCGTACAATCAATTTCTACCTTTCTGTAAGAAATCGTCGTACAGAAGAACAGGGGGGTGGGGGGTGTTTAAGATCGACAAAATTTAGAAATCCGCCGAAACGTTTATCCATTCAAGACATCCTACTGGTAGGGAACAGACGCGATAAGCGATCGAAGTGGTAGCGTTGAAAGGGACAGACGAGATGCAGCCGAGGGATTCCGTCGTCTCGAACGACAACGGTGCTTCCTTTTTGCATCTTCCTGTCTGGAAAGAAAGGAACCGATGACGTAGCAGCGATGCAGGCCGGCGATAGGTCGCGAGCGACGAGCGACACTCTTATCGAGAATCGAATCGGAGCGGAAGCCATCGAGGGGGGGGAGTGCTACCGTGTTTATTTATCGCGTCGTGCACCGCGGCCGGCTTAAAAGGGCGACAAAAACTGCCCGACACCGACCTCCGTACGCGACGAAAAACCAGTCCTCGTTGTACCGGTTGTATGGATGGCGCGTCACGATCCCATCGACCTCTCGTTCCAGGCGGCGAGCATCTCGACCGGATTTCGTGGTCCAGACGAACATCTCTGAATGGCGACGCGAAAGTGAATGGGACGAGAGCGGCGGCAGCGGTGGAAAGGGCCAGCCGCGCTGCGTCGATCGAGGTACCGTCGCTCAGATGGGGACGATCGTAAAATCGGGACGGTACTTACACGAATCGGCCGCGAAGCGTGACGGGAACACATGTACCGACCGGTGCGCGCGATACGCCACGATAAAGAAAAACGCGGAGGATGATGCGCCCGCCTCCTCCGGTCTTGAATTCGATCGACACGGCAATCCGCTTGAATTTCGCTCGACCCATTCCTCCTGTTACTTTCGCATAATCTGTATTAACCGAACTACCGAACGTCGTTCGAAAGGTTTCGAACGTTTTGCTCTTTGCCGTTCCTTTCTTTTCGAGTCGGCTAATGGATGAACCCTCCGTTACATAGAAACGCGATAATATCTGGGTAAACGCGACCTGTAATACCGGTGTGACGAATAACGTGCATTTCTCGTTTATGCTGGTTACAAAAAGAAATGAGTAACGCCGTTAAATTAAAAGTGAAATGACCACGTGGGGTACCAAAAATCGGAGCACTCGAGGAACTCACTGGCGGGAATCTGGTGAAAGAGCAAGACATGTAAGTATGTACATATCTCTGCCTGTGACGAGGCTACATCGTCACAGACTGAGCCTCTACGATGGTCTCTATGTTCGATGTTGTATGTTGTTCATGGGAGTCCGTGGAACATCGTGTGCACGCGGTTGTTGCGGTGGCACACGGGCGTACAGGTAAGGGACGAAGGGGACGCAGAAAAGCCGGCGGTCGGGGGTGACGGAGGGGGCGGGAGGGGGAGACGAATATCGCCCGCACGCATGCGCAGTGCGTTCCGCGATCTCTCAGGCCGGCGGACGGAGAGGCTGGCCTCAGTCGCCCGCGACATTCGGTCCGCGATACGATTCGGTGTAATCTCTGCGTTCTGAACTAAAAAGACGGACAGGGGGAAAGACATAGAGAGAGAGAGAGAGAGAGAGAAAGATAGTAGCTGTGCCGGTCGACGGCGAGGACGCGCGCGCATTTCGATCGGCCTCGAGGAAAGTGTTCGAGTACCGGGGTACCGATCGCAACCTGCCGATCCTGGACAGTCGCCAGAAAGCAAGGTAGCTCGTTAAAAGCCGGGACCTGGTCGCTACGCGACGCTCCGATCCGCTCGAATCGTCGCGAGCGCATTACAGGGGAACCAGCGCGCGATGGACGTGAGACCAGACGCGGAGCTGTCCGAGACGACGACAGACGTAGCAAGAAAGCGCGAGACGTGAGCGGAATCGTCGCGCGAGAACCAACGTCCGCTAGCCTCTATACGAGTGTTGCTCGACGCTTGCGAGGATTACCGTTGCGCTGGCATTTTTTACGGAATCGAGTGAACTGGAACCAGGCCAAAAGAGTAGTTCTGCACGACCAATCGCGTCGATATTCGTGTTTCCTCTGTTTCGCGGCGATCACCACGTGGATCAACGGTGAACCGGTCACCGTTACGTTAATTCCTCCGTCTACGGAACTAATAACCGCCTCTGGCTAACCCGACAGTTCGCGTGATCGATCGTAATTAATCGTACAAACGATCATTAATGTCTCGACCGCGACCGTCGCGTGTACCGGATATTGGTGAGCCGAGCTGTGCCGCGTCGATCCCGATGTATCGTTGAGGAGGTACGATTTCCAACGGGCAGAACGGGCAAAACGGACAGGAATCGCGTGGCTAGGATAATGTAAGGTGTTTGAGAACAGCTTGGCAGACGAAATGACGCGCTACAGGAGGCTGCTGGTGCTCTCGATCCTTCTGATGGCTTACGGCCTGTTCGTGGTCGACGCGAGGCATCGGCAACACGAGGACACCGCGAACGACGCGAGACATCGACACAGGCACAGGCACGAGTCCATCGCCAACCGAAGGAATCGTCATGATCTCGCGGACAGACGATCGACTTGGTCGCAGGAACTCGACTATCTCGATTACGACGCTCGGCTTTATTACGAGAGGTCCTATCCTCGGTCGGCAAAAATAAGCCTTCACGGGCGAATGTTCGAACCGAGTTATCCGGCCTGGTACCATCGAGGTGGCGGTTATCGCGGAACCGGCTGGTACGACGAGGACGACGAGAAGCGCAGAGGTTCGTCTCGACACGGCTGGAGAAGCTACCGACAAAGGTCCGATAGAAACCATCACAAGGTTAGCCATTCGAGAAATCGCGACCCCGACTACGACTCGGGCTCCGACGATGTCGAACGCGAGAAAACTCGTGGCCCCGACGAGAACAGCTTCGAGAGACATCACAGCTGGTGGAAAAACGGCCGGAAGCACAGGATCGGTTCGAGACGCGATTGGCATCCGGACG